ATTTTGACATTAGCAAAAACAATTTTGACTAACACAATTGGAATTATTATAGCTTCTGTAAAAATTCTGTTGCAAAACTTTATGGTGATGCCCAATAGGCAGGGTTGGCCAATGAACTCAAAATGTGGCTTATTAGCTATCAATGGACTATGTCCATTGACCCAATGGACAATGTCCATTGATATTTTTTTGGTGCATATCATAGTCCATTGCCAACCCTGCCAATAGGTGGTTTGGTTGGTTTGAATTGGAATTGTGATTTTTATAATAGAAATTCTATTACAAATTCACTTACAATGTGATAGCATCTAGTAAGTGATCAAGGTTGAGTTTGTTTGAATTGAAATTGTCATGATTTACTGAATAATTTAGAAAAGAACCTTTTCATTATAATAGTAATATCCAGTGTGTGATTAAAATGAAATAATTTGAATCATAATTATTGCAATTTTTATTGTTAATTTTCGCTATAGAACTGCATTAAGAACCGTTAGTTGAACCTTGGTGGTATAATATATTTAACAAAAACGAATTTTGTTTCTATAATATGCTTTAAAACAAGCAGTTTCAGAGAATATGGTAATTGATATTATTTCATTAAAAAGACTAGGTATAGGTATTACCCACATTTTCTGGATACTATGCTTATTACCCTTTTAATGATCAACCTGATTTTGTCTCGATATAATTCTTTATAATAATTATTGCCTATATTGTAGCACTTAACGAAAACTGCTGGAGGCTCTTGAATTATTTAGGCATTGTATCTGATGACAATAAGGAAACTGTAATAAAACTAATCAAGAATTAGATTAGATTGGCAAAAATGTGAGGGACATGTATTACTTTATCATATGTAGTATTAAGCCCTTATAATAAGATTAATTTTAATTTACATATAGTTGATAACCGCAATAAAAAATATATATGGAATTCAATTGGAGGGCTGCAATTACTTTATGAGATTAAGGACCTTTATTGTTAATCCTTTAAAGTGGTTGAGAATAATAGTTAATCATACGCAAAGATCAAATAATTTTCACACCGAGTTTTAATATTTAATAGAGATACGGTAGAACTGTTACGACTCATGCCATACTATTTTTAAACTTATATCGCAACTAGTTGCTGTATAAGCCATAACAGTTTATACCGCATCTCTAGTATCTAAGTAATTAATTTACTAAGTCCAATAGCAACTAAAAAACTTTCGCTTAATTTCATGCTTGAGAATAAACAAACTAGAAATGCTTAGATTCTTGTATGTGTACATTAGACGATATCTCCTTAACAGCGATATGTATGTGTTGTAAATAGAATTCGTGCTATTCAATACTTTAAGTAATCGCAATCATATCTTTGATTAAATATTATCCTATTCCTCAAAAAAATTTTATTTATTAGATGTTGTTTCTCAAACTAATTTGAAGATTAATATTTTCCATTCTAACAATATTTATTGTCTATTTCGCAATTGAGAAACTCAAATGAACCATTTGCAACCAGATCCAGATGAATTGCCTTCAACTTTTATTGTAAATTCTTGCTTATTGTTACTAGTAATTTTTCACCATGTAGTGCTCTTATTAAATTCAGAAATTCTACAAAGAGTCATGTTTGTTAACGTTAGAATTGGCGATTTAGTTAATCACATAATTACTGTCTATGAGCACCGTCTGTTGACTATTTTAGTAACGTCGCAAAAATTGATACTCACTGTAAAAAGCTAAAGTGAATAAAACTGTTACTGCTAGAGTTAGATTAGGATAACTCAGTATCTATAAGTAAATTTCACAATAAGCAATTTTTGATTATACCACAGAAGGTGGTTTATACCAGTACGATCACTTTTCATGTATAACATGAAATGTGGCGGGATAGTTTCCTTCAACTTTTTTGATGTCGCTTATGTTGATTTTCACATACCGTATAATATAATTCTGTATGTAGCGGTAGATCATTCATTATTGATTATCGTTATTAATTTCATTATGATGCAAACTGTTGTCATTAATTTCAAGTTTTATGATGTAAAGCTAATGCTACGGTGCTGATATTTTTTAATTCATTTTTATTAGTTTTTTTTTGAGCGTGATTTCGTCACATTATTTACATAATAAAATAATTTTGTTTAACAACTAGTTTCATACTGTTTCAATCAATACACCTACAATTGCTTCAAAGACACCACATTTCGCCGACGCTTATTCGCTGACAAGCTTATTTTGCATATGAACAAAATTTACAGATAAGCTTGTTTGCTAGGCAATATATTTTGCCGACAGCTCATTTTGCAAAGTAATACTAGTCAATATTGTGAGGACTAAGTTTGGAATTAGGATTAAGAAATATGAGCAATTGATGAAATATGCTATTTATGAAATGAACTTGTCTGTAAATAAATCGTCTGTAAAATAAGCTTATCAGTGCATGAATATCGTTGAAATTTGTGTCTTTAAAGTGTTTGTTAGTGAACAATGGGCCCATTATATTTAAACTTATTCATAAAAAAGCGCCAAAATTTTCGGATTTCTTTGTGAGGAACGATTATCAGAAGCATAGTAATTTGGTAGCTTTGTCAAATGCAGGATCGGATGACTTTACAAAATCCTATCAATTTTTCGTTTCAACCTTTATGGTTTTTATACATGGTCCTTATGGTACCTCATTAGACGCAAGTATTTTTGGCTAATGTTGTGATTACACATGATCATTGAAATCAAATTACTATGATTTTGATGAGATTACTAATGGTAATGCATTGTCACTTTTTTAGTTATCAATAAGCGCCGATAGCCCCACGACCATTGCAGGCAATGTTGAGACCTCTTATTTGATGATTAGGCACACAATTGCAATGACAGTACAAGAATCACTTGTTTGGCTTTGCTGCTGCAATAACAATGCAAGGTCTCTTACAATTAGTGAGTAAGCTCCAAGGTGATAGCAATGCAAGGACCTTTTGCTCGGTGGTTGGGCTCAACAGTGATCATAGTGCGATGAACATCATTTGGTGATTAGGCTCCGAGGCTAGGAGAGCAAAGCAGGTACCTCGTATTAATTATGAAGCTCCATAGTAATATCAACACAAGGACCTGCTGCTTCGTGAGTAAGTTCCGTGACAATAGTGGTACAAGGGCCTTTATTTGATGATCAGCACTGATAGACTGCAAGAATCTTTTTTGATGGTTGAGCTCCATGGTGGCGATAACAGTGCAAGGACCTTTTGTGATTAGGCCCCGAGGCTATGAGTGTAGGGTCCGGAACGGGCTGGCCGGCCCGTTCCGACCCTATACAAGAGCAATGTGGAATCTCACTCTTAAATTAGGCTCCACAATAATAGCAGTGAAAGAACCTATTGTTTCATAAGTAGGCAAAATGACAATATCGATGCAAGGGCTTTTCATTTGGTGATTGGGCACCAGGGCTGTAATGGCAGTACGAGGACCTATTGTTTGATGTTTGGGCTCTACATCAGCAATGGCAGTGCAGACTTCATGTTTGGTGATAAGGTACCACAACGATAGCAATATAGCATTATATAACATAGTATGCGTATGTGCATTGCCAATTCTCGTTTCATTGTAAATTTTCCTGTATGCATTTTTCCATGCGAAAGATACAATGGCTGAGTTAGAATTAAGCTGCTACGACATATTGGGTAGTCATGAATATGTAATTTGTAATAAAACATGTGAATAGTTTATTTAGACATTGGGTATGAATGAATATCCAGCACTTGATATTATTCCACTTGGTACTTTTATTTCTTTACAAAATGCTGCAGCTCAACAAAACTTAACACGCCCAATACAAACAACACAAAATAATGAAGACAATTCATTTATTCCAGACCAAACAATCAGACATGCGAAACCAAAAAAAAACCCAAAAGTGGTAGTTGTAATTGGTGAACAAATTGTACAGCTAAAAATTGTTCATGCCGCAAAAACAATGCAGACGCTATGGTTGCGTATTTAGAGATCATCCCGACGTCAAAACAAAACACGTGCGCACGAAGAAAAAAGAGAAACAAAAATACTCAAAAACTAGTGTTTAAATCGCCTTTAGGCATTAACAAAAAATGTCGGGAGCGTAATTATACATATAAGTATGATCTTTCAAGGCTTATAACCATGAACCCTAACTGGAAACATAACATAATGCCAAAACGAAAATGCCACAATACGCCACATCACGTTACTGCAAGTGTCTTGACTCCTGGCGGAGTCTATAAAAAATTATTTCAGTCTTTTTAACTAAAAAGGAAATGTCGCTTATAAAACATTTAAATTCGCACATGGTCAAACATGACCAAAAATATCAAATAATCTTAAAAATATTTAATATGTAGTAAGCAAACATTATTTAAGTAATTTTTTGGTCGACAATAATAAAGAACATATTTTCACAAACCACTTAAAGTATTTAACATTATTATAATGATTTATTGAAGTCGAACAAATGAAATTAATTCAAGAAGTTGGATATTATCAATGTTTACCATATTTACACTATATAATAACATCGAAAATTCCGCGATTAAATCTGTAATTAACCAAATTAATGAGCCCCGTATTCTTCGGAGAACTTACTCCTCCTACTAGCCACAATAGCACACCATCTTGTACGTACGTACGTACACATTTTCCAGATTTACAGTTGTTATTTCCTTTTATATAAAGATTTAAGTTCGTAGCGCGTATATCGGTGTGCACAAAAACCTTCTAGATATTGTGGCGCACCAGCCTTGATACACATTTTCTGGATACTATTTCCTTTTATATACAAAGGGTAGATACCGATCCTAACCACAAAAAGATAAATCCTTGGTTCGAACATTTAAACTTGTAGCACGAATGCTTACGTATAAACTTAGTTTAGTTAAGAAATTGATTATTTCCTAAAATTTAAGGTTTAAATAAATAATTGATATGCATTAAAAATTTCTACAATGACGTATGTATGCATTGTGTATATGCGCATATGCGTATATGCATATGACAATATTTTTACTTTTCATGAATCATGAAGCCTATAAAAGTGGCGAGATATTCTCGCTTGAGATTTTATTCAGAGTCGAATAATCATTAAGTCAAAATTAAAACACACATTATAAACATAAACATACTGCAAAACAAACAAAATGTTATCCAATTTCAACATACCCAGTGTTTGTTCGTCAGATGTTCGTTTGTTAATGCTATTAATTACTTTAGCATTAATATGCGATAATATTCAAATAGCCTCAACATTGGAAATGATCAAAAACGTTTTGTATGAAAATATAAAGTACCTTTATTTTGCCTTTGTATGTCTATTTACTCTTTGGCGAAAAATCAACATCCCAAGAAATATGTAACGAAATTAATAGAATACGTGAAACGTCCAAAACTGAAAATGAGAAAATTGAAAAAACCATAGCAGATCTTAGTAACAATATAAATGGAGTACGTGAAACGTTTCAAACTGAAAATGAAGGGATCGAAAGAAGAATTCGTGAGACATTTCAAACTGAAAATGAAAGAATTAAAAGAGCTATAGCGGATCTTAACAACAACATTAATAGAATACGTGAAACATTCCAAATTGAAAATGAAAGAATTGAAAGAACTATATCAAACCTTAGTAACAACATTAATAGAACACGGGAAACATTTCAAACTGAAAGTGAAAGAGTTGAAAGAACTATATCAAACCTTAGTAACAACATTAATATAATACGGGAAACATTTCAAACTGAAATTGAAAGAAATGAAAGAGCTATATTGGATCTTATTGACGAAATTAATGAAATACGCGGAGCTGATATTCAAGGTATATCATGTGATTATATTTATTTCTAACTGTGTGCCAGTATATATTAAGCTAATTTTAATTTGATTTATTACTTGCAGGTTTAAATCCATTTATAAATCCAGATCAGTTTACAACCACAAATAGTACAAGCACAAGACAGTACCCAGATTATTCTAATGAAGAAACACTCTGGAATGTATTTACGTCCTTAGTTGATCAAAGGCAAGCAAGCGAAGGTCGTTCTCTCAATTCAATGTTTGAAGAAATAGCCTCAAAAATTGATATATCCAAAAGTACTGTTTATAATTTTTATCATCGTCGAACAAATCCGCAACAAAGAACAAAGGATGAAATTAGAAAATGGGTTAATGGAGAAGTAGGAAGTCATAGTAATTTAAACAATCCTTACCGCTATAATTCTATGTTGGTTTTAACAAGTTAAAAGATTATTTTTACAAATTTATGGTTATTTAGAAAGAAATTTATGAATTTATAAATTTTACTGCATATGGAATTATTGTTTATGCATATTAAGTTTATAATATATATGTTACACGTTGTTTTTGAATTTGTTGAAATAACTCAGGTCCAATCATGATATATTTTATATAAAGGAAATAATATTACGTATTTTATCGATACGCAAAAAACTATGTGAATGTGTATTACGTATTTTATTTTTGTAATTATGATTTATGCAATAAAAAATTCCAAGTTGGTTAAGATAATTCTTCTATATTGATTTTATTGAATTCTCCCATATTAATTTTGTGCTTTTCAAATTACTGTTTTTCAAATTACTGTTGATCAGCAAATTTCATGTATATGTTGTGCCTCAGATTAATTCTTGCCCCAGGTGTAGGGTAGGAGGTACGGGGTCTCTGGGCCAGGGACAGTAAATACTTCCATTATTAAATGACGAATTTTTTATCACAAAAATATCAATTATTCCATTTATTCCATTTTATTCCATTTTATTCCGATATCACCAAAAAAAAAATCTTTTTAGCCAACCAAAATTTAATTTTCAAAATAATTTTCAATTTCCGAAGATTATTACAAGATTATTACGCGATTAATAGCGAGATTTGATTGGCTATAATTTATCATTTTATTCATTTTATTCCGTTTTATTCTT